CCTCCGTTCGAAGATGGGCCAGGGGTGGGTGCCAGGGGGGTCTAACCACCGAACCTGAGGATATGGGCCAGGAGCCCTAGGGCCAATTCATTCCAGCAAGTGCTCATGAAAGCCTCCCTGCAGCTCCGGAGAAAAAAAGCACTTATACTTGTCCTCCCCTTGACAAAGGGTCACTATATAGTTCCATCATAGATCTGCATACATTGTGGTATTTCCTACCTCGCCTCAGCCTCCCCCATTTTGGAATTAGCGTGGTTTCAGCACCCCCATTAAATACCATGAGACTCAAACCTCATTGGACCATTGGATAGTTGGCTTCCTTCAAACCTATGAGAACCTTGCTTCCCTTCAAACCTCCAGACCCCCGATCCGTCCCATCCGTACACACCAGGGCGGCCCGAGCAGTCGGCCGAGCGCTTGCAAGCAAGGGATCACCTCAGAGTGAGGTACCGTTGGACCGTCAACGCTTGAACTCCTTCAAGCATTGGCACCACCTGGGTGCATCTATAAACACAAAAGAACTACCTGTCATGTGCTGCAAATGGATTCCTTTCAACCATCTACGTCCACTGATACCAAAATGACTTCACATCGATGGGCACATGGGCACATCTCTCGCTCACTATAGGCCCACTTCTTCTTGGTCTAACTTGAAGATCACTTATTTTCATTTGCTCCTAGAGCTCCTAGGGCTCCTAAGGCTCCACAAATACCTCAAGAGGCATCATTAAGTCCACGTTAGACCAGACCCAAACCTGGCACCTGCCTCAAAAGACCTCCGAAACGAAGGTGCACTTCAAAGGGCTGTGTCACAGGAGCTGTGCTGGAAAGCTTGATAGATTCCTATGTGCAACACATAGGCTATTCTTACGCACTCCACAGGTGTTCTTACTTACGCGGCATGTGGGGGGAAGTGGGTGCTTACCCAACCCTTACGCAGCCAGACTTCGCAGACTTTTTGCCAATAAGCTGGGAACATGCTATACGCGACGTGCTTTGTACATCGATGCGGCTTCAAGAGTTACTATATAGTTACATGCCTGCAAAAGCAGCAAGAAACTGGTGGAAGAGGACGAACTGCAATCAACAGCAAATGCATTCAAAGCCACCCTTTGCCGCTTGTTATTTTTCTGACTTGCTTGCTCAAAGCCTGGGCTTTTAGCAGTTCTCCTCTATGGACCCCTTTGGTGTTGGCATATGAGCAGAGCGTAAGCTTTTCTGAAGTGCATATTTCGCGCCACTGCAGTTGGCAAAGGCTTTGGCTTTGGGAGCCATGTGGGCTACAACTCACGGACCGACATGAGACTTACGCGCTGTATACGCGGAGCTTACAGGCGCCTTACGCGGAAAAGGCCGTGACTCTCCTCGATTTTTGTGAGGTTATATATAGTTTCTAGGAATCATGAAAGCAGGCTACATTGACTAGGTTGAGTATCTCTTCTCTTAGTGGCTTGGTCTTCGCTCAGGAAAAGCTAAAACCAAGTACCAGTAAACACAACAAACCTCCCCAACCAAAGCTTTTCTCACATCAAATGCAAACTGCAAAACAACAACAAACACCAAAACTTCCCCGGCACAAAAACAGACTTACGCAACCTTGCGCACCCTCGTGTTTGCCTTAACACCCAGCTCTTATGACAATACCCTATTACCCAGAAAATACAAGCAAGTGGGTGTATGGCATGACTGACGGTGACAGCTTCAAGAGCGCTATTAGCTCCTGGCCTTACTAGGAACAAGAAGCTACAAACGCCCACCAGCGGGCGCTCCGGTCTTCTCGGTCCCGGTGGCGGCTGCGCGGCAAGTGCGGCGCCGTCGGCACGTGGCAGACCGAGCCCACCCAGCCGCCCAGGCGTATCTTGGAGCGAAGGAACCTCTCGGTTCGGACGGACGAGAGAAACCCAGTCAAGCAGGGCGGTAGGGCGTGCCACGTGGGATTTGGGTTCTTTTTATGTCTTTTTCTGGGCTATCTGGGTAGTGAACTCTGAAAAACAACATGGTGGAAGTGCTACCAATGGACCTCCAATCGGTTCACAGGTTCATTCTGTGACACAAAAGAGATGTTGCAGGCTAGAACCTTCAGCCACCAGCTTCAACGTTTCAAGCATCATTGAGAGTGGAGCTGCTTAGTGGTAACTGGGATCCACTGGGATTGATTGCTTGTGGATGCCATATTGGACCCCAAAGATGAACTGCCTTCTGACCACTGGCCCGTGAACCTTCCTCGCCCTTCAACCTTGTTACGTCTCAGCCTTCAAATCCGATATCGTGGTGGATTAAGATCAATCAAACCCCTTCCACCGGGCAAGGCGGCTCCAATCTCCCACCGGCGCGTTTCTTCTCCTGCGTCCTCCCTCGTAGTACCGAAAACAAACCCCGGCCCGGACACCAAACACACCCAGAGGTCTGTGGCCCGACATATTTTCTGACAAAGTTCGCCTACCTAGCCGCTCCGTGAAGCACAGCCGCTCCTGGTCCCAAACCAAACCGATCGGGGGTGAGAAACCGACTGGACCTCTCCAAAGGATGAGGGTTCAGGGTCGCGCCGTCGCGCACTGCTATTAATTGTTTCTCAGCACCTGTCAATCAGCTCATCCTCGACTCCAGAACCCGGAACTCCATTGGTCATGCCCGCCTCAACATGGACTGGCCGCCACCTTGGGACATACCTCAAGCAGCTTGAACAGTGACTGGGAACCAGGCACCCAACTTCAACTTGCCGAAGAGACCGGGTTGAAAACCTAGAGTGGGTCTATGCTAAGAACTATGCATAGACTAAAATACAAATCCATTTGGGCAGCCCGCATCCAAAGTTACAAACAGCTCTACCAGCTCATATCAGCTCTATGATTCTTTAATATATCATCTCTCCGACGCATGTTATTGGGATTTGCCATAAACACATGACTTCCTTTGCCTCCTCAGAATGTTGTTTAGACCCAAACCTATTCCAAATATGAATACATCTCCAAAACATCAAAAAAACTCAAAACGAAGCTATGACCCGAGCCCCATTCACGTGCATTGCCAACCAAGCAGCCCATGAGAACGATGCGCTCGCTCTGGCCATTTAAGAGGGCCGCCTGCAAAACAACAGCCGCCTTCGGCCAAAACGTTAATGGGTTGGATGGAGTATAAAAGAAAGTCCATGGATTGATTGGGTTGTTTAAAGGTACCAGTCACTAGTCTACAGGACGCATCGGGAAAACTTGAGAGAGGAGGGGTGAACGAAAGGTAGCAGGCAATCACAAGCAACCCTGGTAAAAGTCCATGACGGCGTGAACCGGTGCAGGGGGGATTTGATCCGGGGGGGGGCCCTTCCCGGACGAACAGAATCAACTCTTACAGGACGAAATTCAATGCACAATCCCAACTCCTGATTGTAATACATTTTTGCTAAAGCAAGGAGAACTCAGGTAGCTCAAGCTACCTTTCGTGACTTGGTATTCCTGCAACTGTTCCCTTCAACTCTGAGAAAGCAACAGCAACAACAACAACAACAACAACAACAAGCACGTGTCCTCCGAGGTGTAAGAAAAAGAACCTACCTTCTGAGACCTATCACTGATACTCGAGACGGCTGATCTAGGTTGACCATCCAGCCCGACAGATTTGCAGTGGATTAGCGGCATCGTTCACCTGCAACTGCTGCCACGCCTTTGGTGAGTCACCGTCCCGCTCATCCAGAACATCGAATTGGCGATTCCAGGCTGCTTCAGTCTCCAAGGCTGTGGCTTTACTCCCCCCCCGAGGGTTCCTAAAGAGCTACCTCCTGAGCTAGGGTTGCAAGTGCTTTTAGACTCTTTTGAGAGAACTCCCATGGGGTCGCTCCGAACAGTTGGCAGTCAACCAGAGGACTTTGAGGCGAGCCCATCGAAGCGAAGAAGAGCGCATCGAAGGCCAACGTCTACAGCCTCCTGATGCCTGAGAAAGTGTTTGGGAATGTTTGGAGGATCCAAGTACCTGACAAACTATGTAAGGAGCTCTCAAGTCTGTGTTGCTTCGCATACTCTTTGATCGGTCTCATCTAGCTTTGCATGGCTTCTGCCCCACCCCCCACGCTTCTCGCCCCGCCCAGCTGCGACAAGACGCCCATCGGTTCCTTTTGGAACTAGGCCGTTTGGCCCCCGACGCTTCTCAGCTAAGTGAGGTGAAACCGCCTTTGGCCACAAGGAGGCTGACTCCGGGAGGGCACGGCAAATGGCATCCACCAATGTCCCGTGCATCGTCCAATACGTTGAACAACTCTTCAGATCGAAAAGGCTTCGCTGGAATCAAGAGATCTGTTGTTGAAATGAGATAACATGAAGCTGATAAGATGATCTTATCACTCAAAAGGATAAGATAACATGAAGTTGAGTTTTGATGAGTTTTGTGCAGTTGTGCGTTCTTGAAGCCACCTCAGGAGAAGCCTGGTGATAGCCCAAAGAAAACCCAAAGAACTGAAAGAACTTGGATTTACTTAAGGAACCGGGAAAACGTTTTCTTTCCCAGAAGGGGATTGACCTAAAGGGTAAAGAAAGGAACTAAGCAAAATCAGGAGGTTTCAACCTCCTCGTGGCAACCTTGGACCCCCTCGTGTCTCTAGCAAGAGGATCAGGATCCGAACACCGGCCCACGCCGCACCGCGGAGAAGGCGGGCTCCATGTTCCGGGTTCAAGTGATGGTCGCTGGTGGTTGATGGCAGAACTCGTGGGAATGCCGGACCATCGAGTTCGTGGAGCGACTTAGAACAGGGTTTGGGAGGGTTTTTGGATTGGTGATCGCCCTTCTCAATGCATCCCGCCGTTCCGCGGCAGGGCGATCGCGGGGCGTTGACCCGGGTCAACACTCCGTGTTTGACGGAGCAGGGCTCATCAGCGCTGCTTGCCTCATCAGCGCCCGGCTGAAGTAGTCTACTTGAATGCGCCAAATGTTTTAGGAGTTCTTTCCTATGATCCTTCCTTGGGCAACCAGCCTTAAGCCTTCATGCCCACAGCTGAACAGGTTTTCTTTGCCGCTCAGTCATAGCACAGCATCTCGAGTTCGAAGGAGCTTGTGGCCTCCTCCTGAGTGGAGATCTGCCAAGTGAAGTTCTCACACACACAACCAGGATCAACCATGTCACCCAGGTGACTTCCTATCGTGCTGCCCGGTGATGCCTGTGGCGGTGTCCCAAGTGTTGATTACACAGGACTGGATTCCAACAGCCATTGAGTTAATAGCCCTCACCGAACAACCATTGTTAATAGGGGTTTTGCACTACAAAACCGGGTCAGCCATTCTTTTCAAAGGGTCAATCAAGCCGATGTTGGGTATAGGAAAGCCAAGCACTAAAATCTTCCCTTATCACTGGAAGGGTAGAGAAAAACGGATTCCCATCGCGGAGATCACACAGAACGTAGCTGAGACAAACGGACCACCGGATGGACAATCAACCAATGCGGACATGAGGAAAAGCGATGCGAACGGAATGGGCTGTCCAGGAACAGACAAACACATACAAGTTATAGTATATATATATATATACGTACTATTCTATATACCTGGAGAATCAAAAGTACAAAAATAAGTGTACGTAGGATAGAACGCTCGTTTTACCAAAGAGCGCTCGAAGTAAAAAAGAACGCTCGTACCACAACAAAGCCCACCCAACCAATCCAAACCCATCGGGCCTGCCATCAGCACACATGTTTCCACACACGAGCTGGACAAGATTGGTCGATCTGTGAGCCGGGAGACTCAGTTGACTCAGTTGGCACAAGCTTTGCGCCACTCCACTCGGTAGTGAATTAGGCACTTGCGAATTGTTTGAATTGGTAACTCTATTCCGTGAACCTTTCTGCATACACGGGCCGTCTTGCCGATGTAATCTTCATCAGCCCAGCAACTTGTGCCTAAGTTCAAGCGTGTTCCAAACAAACTGAATCGGATTGAATCGGAACATCAGCTGCTACCGGGTTGATGTGCATGTATACCGGCCAAGTGACAGTGTGGATTCAGAACCCACGCTGCAGATTGCTCCAGCTGATATTGCGTTTGTAGCCTCCAGATGGATGCAGTGTACCATTTTACTGGGGAAGGGCCCACCACCATTTCACGGGATAGATCTAAGGTCTAAGGTTATAGGTTGAACTCGACTTGGTGCGGGCTGGGTGCAATATATGTTGGAACATATGCACCTTCGGGCGCAAGTACCACAGCGCCCATCCTTTGGATGCGCTGATTTGAGCGCAAGCTCCATATGCTTCCTTAGCTAGGCATGGATATAAGACCTGAACATCTCCGACTCTTACGGGAACATCCCCATCCCCAGTGAAACAAAAGATGGAAAAGTGTGGAAGAGTTCAGCGGAGGGGCACAGAAATTGAACCCGCTCTGAACAGCTTCGGCCGCTTGCAAAGGTGTCAGCCACAGCTTTCCCTTGTAGATGATTCTCAGGAACTTGGAAATGCTGATGTGGCCCCATCGCACGATTCGAAACAAGTCTCGACAGCTTTCCTCAGCTAGCTTGCACCCCCCAACCAGACCAGCCAGGCAGTTTGGTTCTCAACACCATCCAAACCCAATAGAAAAGTTTTAGCTGATCCAACTAATTCTTGTGAGAATCCGGAATGTTTGCAAAATCGTCATTCATTTCCTCAAGAACTGCTTCCAGCCATCCACCGACCACACCCGCGTCCGATCCCTTGCCAAGTCCCCGTGGAAACTCTTGCAGCCTGAGCCGGTGAAGGCTGGTGGAGAAAAATGCATGGGACGTGGGCCCGGTTTTAGAACGTTTGGGCACAAAAACGAAAACACATGGCCAACTTTCGATCATGTAACGATGTAATCTTGAGTTCGCTTTTGTCGAATTCCCGGATTGTGGTGTACTTTTTGTGGGCTGCACACCACAAAGAGAAGGAGCCAAAAGCCCTGTCCAATTGTACTTGGAAAGGGCCAGCACCCCAATGTTGGCATCGCACCGCTACAAAGACCAGGGTCGAAGCTAAGTGGTCCTTTGACACCCCGGCTATGGCCAGGGTATTTGCCAGGTCCACCTTGATGAAATTAGGGTTGTCCCCCGCCAAATGAACGTCACGGAGGGGTGATTTTGCACCACGATGATATGGGCTTGGCGCAACACCATTGGATGGCCAGGATCGCGTTTGGCCGGTTGAAGAAAGATCCCACCATTCCTTAACACAGCAGAGCTGGAATGTTACACTTGCAAATGGTTTTTGCCATTGGGACGACATCTATCAAAGACATGCGCCAATCAATCTTGCGTGCTGGGAATCATTGCTTGGGCAAATGTGGCACTTACGCCGAGAGCTGAACCCACTTTGTAGCCTATAGGCGCTCCGGATAAAGGGCCAATCGCCCTTAGTACCACAAAACTGCATGTAGAACTTTTGGGTGACGTCCCCGCACGTGACCTGCAAGGGGCATGTCAATACCATTTCCCAAACTCCCCAAAGATCCTATTAATGTGGTGTGGTGTTTCAATGGGGAGGGGCACCACAACCTGGAAAGCCTTTCATCGGACCGATTTTGTTTCACATGCCTCCACACCATTCTGACTTAGCTCGTTGAAATCATCGACCACCGCCCGCAACACTGCTTGCATGGTCGCACCGTTGGCTGCGTAATGCTGCGCAGGGATGACTGTCAGAAGCAGTCGCGTTGTGAAGGTATGCCTCGAGTGCGAGGTGCTGGCGCCCAGGAGGGATGGGAAGTATGCGAATCCTTCACTAGTATACGACAAGGTACTGGGTAGATGTGACACACTCCTCTCCCTTCCAACCGATGATAGGCTGGGCAGCTAGAACTAGTACAGGACGATGGCATTGGCCTCGACCCTCATCACCATGAAGGAAAAATGGAATGGTCAGTTCTGGATCATGAGGGCACACGTCGTCTATCCCCTTGTAGCGCTCCCAAAAATGCCGCAGCATACCCTTGATGGAATCCAAGTGGTTGATCTTGTAGCCTCCAAGTAAAAAGAAACCATCATAAGGATGTTGGAAAGCTGTCCTGAACCAAGATGACAAGTAGAGGATAGGCCACGCCCGCACTTCTTCTATATGCTTGTAGCGACTTTTTCCACGAACTGGCACCATTAGCGATGAAATTGGTACTGGAAGGGTCTTTCCTTTCTTGTGGATGTAGCGGAAGATGTTTCTGCTGGCGTTGCAGATCTTCTGGGTATATATTCCGCCCTTTGCCATCTCTGCAACATTAGGGTCATAGATTCCTTGGATCGCATTCATAGGTTCTCCGAGAAAAAAACTTGCAAATCACATCTACAATTGTATCACATCCCAGGGGCCATACCGTTCAAGTAGCTTTTGAGTCTTCACTGCCCCTGACATCACATCCTTGGCTGATGCCTCAGCTGTAAAATTCACAATGAGTGGCCACTTTTGGTGATGATTGCGCTGCAAAATAGAAGAAACCAAAGTACAGTGGACCCACTGGGCGCCCGTCAAAAACCACCCCCTAAATCCAACAGCGCAGGGAAGCACAAGCTTGAGTGTCACTCCCAGGAACACCCTTTGCAAAGTTCTCTACCCAGGAATCTGTGAGCTCGCAGTCGTCATTGTCAGATGATGAGGAGTCACCTAAGCACACTAGGCTTGTTCAAGGCTAGTGGTGAATTGCAACCGAAACTTGACATACAGGCGGAGCTCTTGGAACTAGAGTGGGTCAAAGGAGGTGAGCAAAGCCAGCCACACACACATCTTCCGCCAAGTCACCTCTCTCCAACTCATCATTGCGGTGACCTGGCTTGGGCAAAATCAACCCTGGAGTTTGTGTGAGATAGGGGCGGTCAGCGGAGAAGTCCTCTTCAAAATGGCATGGCGACAAAAGATTGATCCCTGTGTGTTCTTTTGGTGGCGTATAAGCTTTCTCATCCATGACATGGTGGGCGTTCTGCAAGCATGTTTTTCCCCAAGAACTTGTGCGGTTTTACTCAAAAGGCCTCCAAAGATCACCAGCCGCTGCATTTTAGAACTGAAAGTAATGGGTCTTGACTTTGCAATCGGAAGTTGTTGATCATCGACGGCTGAGCCTCCGGAGCACCCCATAAGAACTATGAAATTGGGTTTCTTTGGCAAGTGTCCATGAAACACAAGCCCCTGTCCAAAATTCAATCCCATCCAGCAAATAGCAACATAGCCACGGCTACTTCTTAGCCTTCCTGGCTTTTGACTTGCTTCCAGCTTTGGCTTCAGCTTTTGCTGAACCCTTTGCATCAGCCTTGGCTTTGGCCTTCACTTTGCGGCCGCCAGGCTCACTGCCCACCACAGACCCTGGCCCATTGGTCGTTTTGATGGACCTCAGCGAGAGGATTAGGACTGGTGAAGAGGGCGCACAGTCGGAAATGCATGTTGAAATTCGAGCAAATAGCTATAACTCCATTTGCTGACTAAATGACCTTGTACGCTGCATCAACGCACACATGGACACGTCCAACTTCGTGCACGTCACAAAGAGTGCTTGAACACTACTGCGCTTTTTCCTCAAAAACACCACACAAGAAGCTATATGGAAAAACAGCAGACCTGTAATCTCTTTTGCCATCACTTGTTGACGGGTGAACAAGGCAAGACTCTCATCAATTGAATCTGGGGCTACGGTAGCTTGGGATAGGTTCTCTGCCAACTTGTCGTAGCACGACTCCATTTGGCCCAGGACATTCTTCACTTGCAAGTGCAGCCTCAGGACAGTGCGACGATCTTAGCTCCGCTGTTGTGACCTGGTGCTCATGACTTGCAGACTCATGTCCTAGGGACTGCTTGGAAGCTGCAGTGTTCACATCATTGATTCGGTCCTGCAAGAGGTCATGGGTTCGTATAGATCTATAAAATTATAAGTATGCACGGCATGCAAAACTTCACGTGGCATCTGTCCAGCTCAGCTTGGACCTTGTCAACTTTCTTTCCCAAAACTTCCACAAACTGTGGCAACACTTGCAACGGTGTTGTCGTGGCCGTGACTGTTGGGAACGTAAGCCTCAGAAGCGGGTTGAAACACGTAGGGGTTTGCATATGGAACATGTTGGTTGCTGACTCATTCAAAGAAA